ACACCATCTCGAGCAACAAACACTTTGTTTCTCATTCAGTTGTAAAAGTAGTAGCCCTTTGTTTCTTTAGTATAATCTACAAAGAAACATTTGTCAGATTTGGGTGCTAGTTTATCAGAAAGTAAACATTTTACATAAGTTTCACATCCCAAATTCATAGATAAGACATTTTTGGAACTCTTCCAGTCCATAACTCATATGGGATCTTTTCTACTGCCTTTGACAGAGTCCTATTTAGTGTAAATGCAGCGGTTTCGAGAGCATGTCCCCAAAAGGATATTTGAAGATATGAAAGACTCACCAATAATCGAACCATATCTAGTAAGGTTCGATTCCTCCTTTCAGATACACCGTTTAATTGGGGTGTCCCTGGTGGAGTTAGTTGTGAAAGAATTCCACAACCCTTTATATTATTATCAAATTCTTAGCTCAAATATTCTCCACCACGATCTGATCGTTGTGCCTTTATTGTCTTGCCAAGTTGATTTTCTACCACATTCTGAAATTGTTTGAACTTTTCAAACGATTTAGACTTATGCCTCATTAAGTAAACGTAGCCATATCTACTTAAATCATCAGTAAAAGTTATGAAGTAACTAAACCCTCCCCTGGTTGTAGTGCTCATTGGTCCACGCACATCTGTATGTATGAGTCCCAAAAGATCAATAGCTCCTTCTCCTTTTCCCGTAAAAGGAGACTTTTTCATTTTACCCATCAAACACCTTTCGCATACACCATAGGATTCATAATCAAATGATGTAAAATGCCATCCTTTTGCAATTTCTAGATTCGTTTTGAGTTGATGTGTCCTAAACGACAGTGCCATAAGTAAGTAGGGTTTAAATCACTTCATTTATTTTTCTTGTAATCTATGTTATAGACGTGTTTATCAAAATCTAACACATACAAACCATTTAATAATCTAGCACTGGAATAAACATCTCTTCAAAATAAACTGAACAACAGTTGTTCTTTATTTCAAACTTAAAACCTTCGGTGTCTAACACCGATACAGAAATGATGTTTTTAGTAATAGCAGGAACGTAATAACAATTATTCAATTCTAAAACTAAACCAGAAGGTAAAGGTAGACTATATGTTCCAACTGCTAAAGCAACAACTCTTGCTCCATTTCCGACGCGCAGTTCTACCTCTCTCTTAGCCAGCTTTCTACTTCCTTTTAGTCCCTGCACACTCGAAACAACGTGAGTACCACAATTGGTATCAAATACCCAAATATCAAAAGTTGCTAAATTTTCTTCTATAACATAGATACTTGAAGAAGAAGCGCTTGTCTTCTTATCCTCAAAGTACTTTGTGCAGTTTCTCTTCTAATGGCCTATGCCATCACAATAGAAACACTTGGCTTCAGATTTTGCATCGCCTTTGGGTTTTTCAGGGCCTTTGGTTTGAGCAACTTTCTTACCCTTACCTTTCCTTTTTGTTTACCCTTGCCATTCTTCTTGTACCCTTTTCCTTTCTGAACCATTAAAACTTCTTTCTTTGGTTTTGGAATGTCTAGCTCAACAGTGACAAGCATTCCATGCAGTTCTTCTAAGGTATTCACTTTATCTTGCATGTTAATGTTCTGTCTGTATTGTTGGAACCCATCATGATGAGATATCATGATAATGTCAATAGCCATCTCTTGGCTATAGGTATGACCTAGTCCGGACAATCTTTGGAATAAATCCATCATCTTGTGAACATGGTCTCCCACTGATTCATGGACCTTTTGTCGACATTCGAGAAGCTCTTTATGAGTCTCGTATCTCTCAATCCTAGCTTGTTTTGAAACATCTTTTTCAGTTGCAAGATAATGTTATAAGCATCCATACCATCAAACTTCTTTTGAAGGTTTGGTTCCATGGAAGCTAGCATGAGACATGTGACAAAAACTAACTTATCTTGAATAACCTTGCGAGCAGCCTTTTCAGCATCAGATGCTGTTTCTGCCAGAATTGGGGTAGGGGTTTCAAGGACATCCTCTCTTCCTTCGGCCCTAAGAACAATTCTCAGGTTTCTTTCCCAATTAAGGAAGTTTGTGTTGTTCAATTTGTCCTTCTCAAGGTATGAATGTAAGTTGTGATTATTGTTGTTGTTATTAGACATGATATCTACAATAGAAATATAGCAAAGTTCAAATTATGTATATCATAGTAGCATAAAAATATTTTAACATACAAGCTACTAATCACGTCCTTTAATTTATGTTGCCATTTTTAAACAATATGATATCCAAGACCCTTAAACATAAGATTCCTAGCGGACTTTGGCTCTATCATTAAAATCTAGTGTCTATGGTAAGTAACAACCTTTACTGATTATATCGCATATAATCCTTGGTCGATAGGTGACAACTCTTGTTCTTATCTCTATGTTTCAAAACCCAAAACTTTATCTTTTGATGGTTGTGTTGAGCAAAAACCAAACTTTAACATGTAAACTTCATAAGTTCACCCTAACATCCCACAATTACATGCAACACCCCACTTTGGCGGAACCTATTATTAATGATCGAGAGCTTTATAGGTGTAGTTTGGAAAAACATATATCTCAATACTACTTTTAGGGACCTAAGTTTACTATGTTGGTTTATTTATTAGAGAATCCATAACATAAATAAAATCAACATGCATAAACTTAAAAATAAAGCATAATATAATGCGAAATTAAAATTTGTGATCCTAGTATGGCCCCTAATACTATGAAAAACTAGTCTTTATAAGCTCCATCCTTGATTCATCGTGGATCTCCATCCTCGATTCACCTTGGATCATCTTTTGATAGTCTTTTGCTTGCATTATTTGTATGTTAAATTTAAATAAAAATAAATAAATTATAAAAATACAAACGGTACGCAGACTGTATTTAATTATAAAAATACGTTAACGATATGCAGATCGTATTTACTATCCCAATTTGGGCATACTAGTCACCTTGGCTAACAATAATAATATCATACATTCAAAATTGTCATCCATAATATATGCCATATAATAAAATATCATATAAAATAAATAAGGCAAATATTAATCATTTATATTTGGTAAATGATTCAAATATAATCCAAATTAATTCCTTTAATTTAGTCAACTAAACATCCTAGGAAATGAAAGAGTAACGCTTACGTTAAAAATAGCCAACTTCCATTATTATGATTCAATTAGAATTAATATACGGCATTAATGTATAATTAAATATTAATTTGCTAAGTTGGACCATTGCTAATAACATAATGGTTGACTTAATTTCATAGCAACTACACTATCACCATTGCTCACGCCCTCCTATGTCTGCCGTATATCAATACCACCGTCGTGGCCCACCATCGGTGATAAAGCCACCCAGCCACGGTGGTTCACTCCCCTCAGTATATTTTTATTTATTTTTTTTATTTTATTTTTATTTTTGTTTTTTTGAGTTAATTAAAACAACTCTTGTTCTAATTTGTAGGAGATTAACATTAGCATGATGAAATTTAGCACAACTCTCTTATGCTTAGCCATCAAATTTAGGCAGGAATAACTATAGTCTTGCAAAACAATTTTACTCATATAGTTGTGAGGTTTTACGTAGTACCTAGAATTACTTAAGATCTTATCTTAAGAATAAATCAAATTTATCTTTTAATTCTATATACTTATTTAACTTTAGGTGAAATAATCAGAATAATTTATCATATAAAATCTGAAAATTTTTAACCAAATTTGGACGTGAAATCTAAATCTTTATAAACGGGTTATATGTACCCATACAAATAATCTAATTATGTGTATTATCCGAAATTCATGATATTAAGCCTAAAATCATATTTTAAAGCTTAAAGAAAAAAGGAAAACAAACAGAGCTTCTAGATGGAAGGCATGTTACGTGATAGTTTTTTGATGGTCCAATCAATTAAAAACCATTTTTAATCATGCATATTAATCCATATAAAAACCCTCCCTTAATTGAATCAAAATAATCAATATTGCATCAAAGTTAATCGTATTAACAAGATCATATTAACATATGCAAGAGGCTAACTGATACCACTGTAGGAACTTATTAGATGTGATAGTGGAATTTCAGGAACGCTTCCTAAACATATAAACAGGATCTCATGCATATTATCAATCTAAATCACATAATAGGAGTTAGATATACCTTTGATGTGTTCACTCCCTTTTAGCCTTTGATAGCCCTCCTTCGAAGACCAAGAACCTCAATTGTGATTCCTCTACGTGGTTCACAAACTCGAGAAAGATCCCCACGTATGCTAGTACGGAAGAAGGAGGAATAAACTCTTACTCTCTCTTACTTTGTATGGGATACGACTATTAGAAGTATTAGGGTTGTATGCACTCTTAATTGTTATAATTGTTATATATCTCATACATAATGTACAGCCTAATATATAATAGAAATTAGGTTATAAGATTGCAAACCCATTCCCCTAATTACTTCTCATGACCGGCCACTTTAACCTTTATTGGATTTGTGGCTTTGATCCATCTCGTGTTTATATGTGTGACCTTATAGGATCCGGCTATAATTAGTAGCAAGCCCATTATACAATTAACTTACTGACCGAAGTTGATTTCTAGCAAAACACTACGACCCTTAAAATAACCGAATTAATAATCTCCTTAATTATCCTATTTTATATTTATTAATTGCTATGCTTGATCGAGTACACTTCCTTCAGTATTTCATTAATTGGTGTCACCCTCTATTTAAGTACCACAGTTGTACACTTCGTACTAGCTTGTCAAAGTACGTGAAAAAGAATTAATTGAAGCATATATCAAGACATTAAAAATATAATACTTAGCTAGTATTATATAGTTGCCGTGTTAAAACATTTGGCCTAACGCATAGAAGCTTCTATTTGGATTGAATAGGGTTAATTATTGTACCTCCAATTAATTACTTACCACATGCACAAACACATGCTTAATTATATAACAACTCTTAAAAGTAGTTGACCTACATATCCATATGTACCAAATATTCTTAGAGATCTTGAGTAATGGAAAAATAATCCAACTAAATAATTAGGGAAAATATTAGTGATCATAAAATAAAGTAATATGGAATTGAAAATTTCCATGTATGATTCATGGAAATTACTCACTCTTGGAACTTTAGTGGGGTGTCTACTCTTTCTTGTTTTAGATAAAACACATCAAAATATAAGTCTTTCTATTGCAAGATTTGCTAGTTTACCCATAAAAGCTTCAAATTTTAACATCAATTATTCAGTAGGAATACCAAATGAAAAAACCAAACAGAATTGTAATATATTTGATGGAAGATGGGTTTACAAGCCAGAAGATCGAAATGCTAGCTATGATGCTCGCAATTGCCCTTTCGTCGAAGAGAAGATGAGCTGCCATAAGAATGGAAGGCCCGATTTCGAGTTTTTGAAGTGGAGATGGGAAGCTAATGATTGTGAGATACCAGTGTATGTTTCTTTCTCTGTGCTTTCTTGGTAGTAAAGTCATTTCTAATTTGTTTTTTTAGAAAAATAAGCTTTCTAACATTATGTACTAGTATTTAGTTTTTGATGGATGAAGACCTATTTTTATGACTAAAATCTGTTTCGCTAACTGTATACATATTTTATTTTATTTTTTTTATTTTTTTTTTGTTAACTTTCTTTTGCTTTTCGAAAGTTCGACTCACTTAAATGACTTAATGTAGAATCTTGTTTCCGAAAAATAAAGTGAAAAGGTGGGTGAGAGTAAGAAAATAATTAATAAATATAATATGTACGCCAAAATAGAGTAGAACTTTCTAAACACCCAAAATGAAAAGTGAGTCGAACTTCAAGTTTAGAGAGTAGATGAAATTTGAAATAACAATTTCTACACATTTATTATTTACTTTTCACTCAGACATTCCTTGGATTTGCATAGAATCATTCGAAATATTTGAAAGTTTATTGAAAATTTAAATATACATTAACGTATATTCCCTTTAACCAAACCAGATAGAATGAAGTTGTTTTTAAGCTAGACATTTCATATCAATTGTATTAATGCTTCATTGTAGGTTTAATGGAAAAGACATGTTGGAAAGACTTCGAAACAAAAGGGTGATCTTAGTAGGGGATTCACTCAACAGAAATATGTGGGAATCTCTTGCTTGCCTCCTACATTCTTCCATACCTTCCTCAAATGTGCAACTTCGTGACAATAGCAAAGTCCCTAGGCTTTTCTGGAAAGCAAAGGTATATTCAATTTCAGTAAATATGAAATTTAAATTTTATTATCAACCAAACAAGCACTTAAAATAAAAACAAATTTTATAGGACTACAACATGACCGTTGAGTTTTATTGGAGCCCATTTCTCGTCGACTTAAACCTAAACCATGAAAGCGGAAAAACGGTTCTTGTGCTCGACAAGCTTTCACCCAACTCCGAAATGTGGACCGGAGCTGATGTTATGGTGTTCAACTCGGGCTTTTGGTGGGTGCAACCCGGTTCAGCCAAAAGGTACAATGATACGTAACTTTTCACTTGTTTAGTCCTACTAGCTAGCTTTATTAGCGCAGCCATCAATAGTACAAAATTATAATCCGTATTATAATGCTAATTACTATCGATTTTTAGTGATTGACAATAATAGAAACTAATTCCGAAGATAGATCTGACAGGAGCCATAATTCATCTTTGTTTTTAGTGTCATATAGTCACAAAAAACAAAGACAAATTGCCTGTATCGTTGCATTGTGAAGTCAACTTTTGGCTCATTTGTGGTATTTTGAGTACATCAACAATATTCTTTTTTTTATTATTTAAAGAATTAATGAATTAATTATTGATATTTTGGATCATATTAACAGTATAATTTTTTTAATCCTAATATATGTGCTGTTATAATTTTTTATTTATTTTTTTTTTGTTTTTTACAAGAAATATATGTGTTGTTGGGGTATTAACAAAATTCTGAATTTAGAATTAATTAATTACAGAATAGGACAAGCTTTTTTTTTTTAAAAAAAAAAGACCTTTCATAACATGATTTTTGTTTTTTTTGGATCTTGTTATTAACAATATTAAGTGCCCCAAGGAATATATATAACAATTTAAAAAGTAGGTCAGAACTATGCGTCAATCATATTGGTTTAATTTATATATATTTCTAGTTTTTGTTTTTGCACTTATTAGGTTTTGCTTTTTTTATTTAATTTTTTTTTTATTTTATATGTATATTTATATATAAAATTACACAGATAGTCAAATATGAGTTAGATCATGAGAAGAAATCTAATTAAAGAGAAGAAATGATCGTACTAGACTAATAATATCTTTAAAAAAATTGTGAATATGTGATAACTAGGTACCTAAAATTTAGGTAAATTGAAAATGATTTTGAGGAAGAGTAATAAGTAAGTGTTATATATTTCGTACATCTTACATTTTTCATCAAATTTCAGATGGGATTACATTGAATACAAGGGGAAGCTAATACAAGAAATGTCAATGGAGCAAGCGTATGAAACGGGCATGAAAACATGGGCAAATTGGATCGAGAAAAATGTGGATCCAAATAAAACCACTGTTTTCTTTCGAAGCATTTCGGCCGAGCACAAAACTAAGACTCCTGAAAAATGGTGTTACAATAAAACCAAACTCGCCTTAGTTGATTACTATGCAGCTGTCTACCCTAAAATTTTAGTAGACATTATAGAGAGATTGATAAAACGGTTTAGTAAGTCTCAAGTAAAATACTTGAACATTACGAAACTATCTAGGTATCGGATTGAAGCTCATCCCGGTATCTATAGGTATAAGGATTGGAAGAATCTCACCGAGCATACGGATGATATAGTCACTCTTCGTCCTGATTGTAGTCATTGGTGTCTTCCTGGTGTTCCTGATACTTGGAATAAATTATTGTATGCTTCACTTTTTTTTGATTTGTGATATGAAGAGCTACAAATAATGTCGAGTTTAACATATTAATTACCATGTTTCACATATCTTTGTCATTTAATTACAAGGAGGAAATTTACTTTTAAGTAGTGTCGTTTATAGGCGGTTATAATATGTCTTGCATTAGTTACTAGACTTCAACGAAGTAAAAACGACATATTATTTGTTAAATATGTGGGCTAAGATTATTTGTTTTTGTGCCTATTTTATATTTGTTTTCAGTTTTGAGGGTATTCGATGTACATGGTCCCTTAGGATTTTACTGTCCGTGGATATAGCTAACTATTATGAATTACGTTCAACATAAATAAAACACTTGTCTCGTTCGTTGATATTAGGTAACAAACCGTCAGTGAACCACGTTGAATTTTGTGTTCATGTTTGTTGTTTTCTTCAATCTTTCTTGCATCTAATATAACATGGCGTATAATCTATATTCTTGTTGATTAATATCTTTAATCTTTCTTACATTCTTTATAACATAGGCTGTATATGTGTATATAACGATCAAGCACAACAATGATGTGCAAACCCCGAATATATCCTTGAATGAGTAAATTGCTCGTTGTAAGTCAACGTTTATGTAATTGGATTCATAAAGACATTATTTTATTTACGGCGACTTTAATGAAAAAGACCCTTTTTACTTCACTTTACAAAAATAATATTCAATAAATATAATTTTATTTCATTAAAATTAATTTCAGTTAAGTAAAAATAATTTCATTTCAGCAAAAATAATTTCATTTTAGTAAATATATTTCCAGTTCAGTAAAAATCAGTAAACATAAAAAAGAAATATATTAGAAAATCAGTAAAAATAATTTCATTTTAGCAAAAATAATTTTAGTTCAGTAAAATTAATTTCAATTCAGTAAAAAAAAATTTAGTTCAGCAAAAATAATTTCAGTTCAGTAAAAAAAATTTAAGTTCAGCAAAAATAAGGTAAAGTGAACCGGGAATTTTATTGGAAAAGTTTCTGCATAATACAACTGTTAGGGTTTTTCTAAAAAAAAACTAAAACTGTGAGGGTTTGTTTTTGTTTTGTTTTGTTTTTTTAATAGTATTAAAACTGATTATTTTGTAATTTATTAAAGAAAAATACTCCGTACAATTTATATCAGTTAAGACTTACTTTTATTTAACAAATCTGAATTAATTTTTAACTAGTTCAAAACCCATGCTATGCACGATTTTACAATAGTAATTCATTAATCATTTATTAGAAACTATACATAACGAAATCATAAGAACGAAAAAAAAAATTTAAAAAAAAAAGTACAATAAACATTGTGATATACCATAAGATTAATCTTAATATCTAAATATATAGTACAATTAATGTTAGATAGAAGGAGATAACAAATATAATAAAATAATAACACTTTTTGATAATATTCTAAGTAGTATTTTGTATTATTCAAAACATTTCTTATTCTTTAGTACAACATTTTTTAATTTTATTTAAATTATTATTGTTTGGCATCATTCCCTAAATATAATGCCAAACTTTTCCCTAAAATATAGTAACAAACTTCTTTCAAAAATGAAAAGTAACAATTTTTTTTGACGGGAAATTTTTTATGAGCTAATGACACGTGTATTTAAGGGATAACTACTAGGATTACTTTAGTATATAAATATAGATGCATACACATATACTTTGAATTGTTTGAAACCTATGTATTTAGTTTACTCATTTACAAAAGTATAAATAAAACAATGAAACAGAAGCACGCAGTATAATTTATTGATCCCATATATTAGGATCATGTTGTTAGACTATGGATGTCCTCATGTCCATGTTAACAAAATATACTATGGAGTATTTCATATCAACATGATCTTCAAGAAGTTACTTAATGTAAGATAATATGAAACTCCTTGAATTGGAGTGTATTCCATTAATTCATATACATAGAGTTACAAAGATGAGACCTAATCACGTTAGAAAATCTCAGAAGATATTTACACAATATTCACAAAATATATCATTCTATAACAAAATATCTATCATATTTTCTATCACACCCTCGCAGTCGTAGTGGGAGGAGGGTGAACGCTAAGACTTAATCTGAAGTCCAAAAATAGTTGTCGATGTAGGCATTTTGTGAAAATGTCTGCACATTAATACCGGGAAGGAACGTGTAGGACCCATACATGCCCTAACGCCGCCTTTTCTCGGAAGAAATGAATATCCATTTCGACGTGCTTGGTGCGTTGGTGTTGTACAGGATTGTGAGATAAATAAATAGCGCTTAGATTATCAGAATAAACAATAGTAGCCTGTCGGAGAGAACAATGTAACTTCAAAAGAAGATTTCGAAGCCAACAAGCCTCGGCAACAACATTTGCGATACCCCTGTATTCTGCCTCTACACTTGATTTAGAAAGAGTAGCCTGATGCTTAGACGACCATGAAATGAGATTGTCACCCAAAAAACAAGAATAGCCAAAAGTCAAATGACGAGTGTCAGGACACCCGCCCTAATCTGCATCTGTATATGTGATCAAGTTTGTCGAGCTGAAGGATATAAGTGAAACCCGTGAACAATTGAGCCCTGTATGTAATGCAAGATGCGTTTCAATACATCATAATGAGCCTCTCTAGGGTCATGCATGAATAAACAAACCTGCTAAACTGCATAAGCTATGTCAGGACGAGTAAAAGTGAGGTACTGTAATGCACCTACAAGATTGCGATAGAGTGTTGGATCATGAAATTTAGGTCCAGAGTCTGCACTGAGCTTGGATTGAGTATCCACTAGAGTTGTTGCAAGCACTAGTAGAAAAAATGAAGAAGGCACCGCCCTTTTCGCATCGGTTCTTAAAAACCGGTGGGAAAAAATTAGGTGGGATTTGGATAATTACTTTTCGCACCGGTTCCTTATAAATCGGTGCCAAATATTGGTTTTCACAACAGTTTGAACCGGTGCTAAATGTTATTATTAAAAAAAAATAAAAAATAAAAGAGGGAAAGCGGGATTTCGCACCGGTTCAGCCCAAATCGGTGGGAAAATTCATTTACAACCGGTTCGAACCGGTGCTGTAAATTAAACAAAAAAACCACTTAATCGTGAAATTCGATCTTCTTCTTCCTTCAATTCAGTTTTCATTCCCCTTCTAGCTTTTCCACATTCAATTCGCACCCCCCTCGTTGTCGCTTACCTTCCCCATAGCTGTACGTCCTCCATCGAAGCGCATTCTGGGCTTTCTCACCTCCATTGCCGCAACTCGTCTCTTTCTCTCCATAGCTCTCCTCCATTGAAGCGCATTTTGCTGAGCTTTCTAACCTCCATTGAAGCGCATTCTGAGCTTTCCAACTCCATTGTAACAACTTCGAGGTAAGATTTATTTTGTGGTCTTCCTAATCTATTGAATTCCTTCGCAATCTAGGGTTAGTCGTTGATTTAGGGTTTTCTGTTCTTTATGGTTTTCTGTTGTGACTTTAATTTTGAGTTGTGCATTCAACAATAGTAAATTGTTTTAGGGTTTTGATTGTTGCTGTTGTTTATGAACTTGATGGTTCTCGTTTGGGCATTTGTTTATGAACTTGATGGTTCTCCATTGCTGGGTTCCTCAGCTTTCTGATTTGGCGCTCAGCATATCTAACGCGTGTACTTAGCTGGAGAAACAGATTATATGTTGCTGTAAACTGGGCAACCATTCTAGTTTTTGGCAGGGATATTTCATAGATAGGAAACTGAAGATATTAGCTTCAAATATTGTTGTTGTTGTCCCTATTGCATTGAGGTCCTTTTACTTGTAGTTTGTGCTAAAACTTTGGACGTTATTTGATTTGTTGTAATCGAATTTTGCGAAACTGAATACTTCTACATATGATACTCATATTATGATATAATTACAGTATTAATCAAACAGATCAAGGTCTTTTGAACTAATTAAGTGCGTAATACAAAAACTGATTAGTTATCCGATTTATGTAGTTTCTCAATCTTATATGGCATCTAAATGAGAATGTGCTGATCTTGGTAAAATTGCAAGAAATGAGATGAAATTGTGCAAAGCTGTTGTGGTGTAATATTGGATAAAATTGCAATTATGTAAGCTTCTGTGGTGTAATGAGCTGCTTGATTTATGTTGGTCATTACTCATATAATATTGGATAAAATTGCAAGAAATGAGATGTAATTGTGCAAAGCTGTTGTGGTGTAACACGTGGCATAGGCTGGCAGCATCTCATTTAGATTTAAAATAAAGCATAAGAAATTGACCATATAGAGGTTTCCCATGCTTTACTGTGGTAGACTCAGGATACATGCCATCTTAAATAAATGATATTGTGATATTGTCTGCTCAGTGGATCTAATTTACATGTAATTTTCTCCTTGCAGTTGATATTATATCAACTATTGAATTTGACAAGACTGGGGATCACCTTGCTACTGGAGATCGTGGGGGCCAGGTTGTTTTGTTTGAGAGAACCGACAGAAAGGGTGTAAGTGCAATCATGCTTGTTTGATTCACAAAGTAACTTTCTTTGATTCTAATATAATTACATGTTGAGGCCTATAACCTATATATAATGTGATCATATGATATGTAGCCTGGTGGACCTAGAAGAGATCTTGTTAGTAGGCATCCTGAGTTTCGCTATCAGATTGAGTTTTAGAGCCATGAACAAGAGGTAGGTATCTTCATTGAATTGGCTGTCATAGTTGATGTTTGTTTCTCTTCCTTTTTTTCCTTAACTAAGCTCACATATTTACCTTTTGGTTTCAGTTTGAGTACCTAAATAGTTTAGAGATTGAGGAGAAAATTAATAAGATCAGATGGTGTGAGATGGCTAATGGCGCACTATTTCTTCTTTCCACTAATGACAAAACCATCAAATTCTGGAAGGTGAGGAAACTCTTGCTTGCTATATGTCTTTGCAGTTTATTATAGGATTTGTCTATCACCAGATAACTATCGAATTTAGGCACTTTCTGTGGATGAAGATATTAGCTGTATTACTCTTCTTGTCTGACTTTTTTTATCTCCCATATGGTAGTATTGGATAGGTATAATTTTTTGTCTCGTGTCCATTATATCTCACCGGATAGCTTCCTTGGTTAGGTTTCGGGAGAAAAGAAAAGAGAGGTGTTTTGTAACAAAACAGGTATACCATACGAAAGGAGGTTGCTCAAAGGTGAGATTTTTCTCTAAGTTTTTTTTTTTCTTTTTTTTTTTCAGTTTCATATTTCTCAGTCAGTTTACCAAATTGTTATGGCTATGCTGCTGTATTCACTGTTGGTCTGTCGGGAGTTCTATTATTATCTATGCTAAGGGATTGCTTCTTGACACCAGTGCGCTTTATTTCTCTTTTCTATTTCTAGGATGCACCACAAGAATGGCCAATTTGCATCTTTGAGAGAAGGTTCAACATCTTTCAATTTGGAAGCTAAAACGAACTTAGTGGTTGGTAGAAGCCTGGGACCAGAAACTATGAGAGTCCTTGTTAATTTAATCCCCCTCCTCCCATATGCACAATGTGCTGAAGGATAGTAATTAATTTATCTCCGAATTCCTGCTTATTCCCTTTCTAATTTTCTCTATAATTTCTAGTTCAAACAAGTGTCAGCATTGTGGTAGTGAAAATGATACACCAGCGATGCGACGTGGACCAGCTGGTCCAAGAACCTTGTGTAATGCTTGCGGACTGATGTGGGCCAACAAGGTGTGAATTCATAATATTGTATTTAAAATGTTTTAGAGTTGAGATTCTTGAGGGAGATAAAATGTTATAATATGAACATATATGCATTGAGCTTTGTGTAATTAAAATAATGTGCTGTAGGATAGAGGAAACCATGTGTAGGATTCTGTCTGTGTAAAATGGTCTATGTAATCTAAGTTTCTGATACTAAGGAGGGATTGAGTTGCTAGAGAAGAAATTATGAGCCTGATTTGATAATTGAAACAAATTTGGTTGATAATTAAACTATGAAATTGGACCTATTCTCCCATTACTAATACTGTTTAATTGGAAATATGAATTTGGACCTCTTCTCCCAACAATGAACAATGATACAGTTAGAATTAGATTCATCTCAATAAATTAATCCAAAAGAAAATCATTTTATGGTTTATATGCTGTATTTATAGGTAGTGTGATAAATAATAATGAACAAACAGAGACACAACTACAGAAGCAAACAGATGCCCAGCCTGCCTCTTTTTTTTTATTTTATTTATTTATTTATTATTATTATTATTATTATTTTTATATATATATATTTTTTGTTTAATATTTGAATTCTTATGTCTAAGCATTTGACTCTACATCGTGTAAAGAATGTAACCTCCTCAGTCTAGGTAATTACAGTCCATATATGTTCTTTACAGAAATCTTGTTGGAGCCGATTTGGGTGGTGAATTGGGGCATAGGATTATTCACATCTATTAAATCAATGTAAGATCTCTCTCTTTGCTGTATGGACTTGTAACTTGACCTTGTTAGACACACAGGAAGTAATAAATTTATCTTGTAATTGAAGGAGAGTGGTATCACACAACATATTGTCTAATTGCTTGCCTCTAATGTGCATTTGTGTAGTCCTCTGTTGTAAATGTTACTATATTTGAATGTATTTAATATTCTTAATCTTCACCAATATCTTACTTGTTCAGTCTTGCAGTCTTTTATTGTTGATCTACACGAGAAGATGACTGGCATTAGCATCTATGGTGCAGTTATGGACATCTCTCGAGAAGCAAATACTGCAAAATCTATATTCAATATGAAGATTCAAGATCCAACAGGAGCTATTTGTGTAAAGTTGCATTTTAATGAATCTTGGTATTACTAATTTGAAGTTTCGAAAAATGTTTCTTCGTTAGAGGATCAATTTGTTTGTTGATTTCTTCAACCATGTTCTTCAGGTCTTTAGGGAGATTGAGTCTTGGTCACACTGTGTACATCTCTGGTTTGACATGTGCCAAGACAAAACACAAGGGGTGAGCTCAACACTTATTTCCAATGATTATTGATATGCACATATCTTTATTGGCTATTGGTTTCTCTGACCAATTTTTGTAATCTGGTTCTAGTTAAGTAATATAAAATTATGTATAGCCTCACCTCAGATTGTAATATATTAAGTTTCTTTGACAGTCTAGAAGCACGATGGTTTGAAAATGGTCCTGGAACTTCCTTTGTCAACCTAAGCTGCTTGCCTGCAATCTTGAACTCATCTTGTCTCCACAAGCATTCTTACCTTGCTGATGTGTCAAGGCAGAATACTGGTACACATGTATGTCCTCAACAAGCTGTCATCTTTTGTATCACCTGGCTGATTACGTGTTTTAAGTGATTTTCTGCTAGATAGCATTCATCAGTTTGATAACTGAATTTGCATGTTGGTAGCATAGCCTATGACTGGTTAAATATGTCTTTGTCTCTGTTATACTACATTTTCGTTTATGAAAACTAAGATCTGGAGCTGTTAACTCTTATAGACTCTGCCAATGCATCTTTAGCCAAAGCTGAAGCTTGGGGTTTTCAAAAAGTCTTCTCGTGTAGAATTAGCTAGCTTAAATGGTGAAGTCTCTGGAGTAGTACCTTTGTGGTTGCTGACTGAGAAAGTAATCTTCTCTTAACTAATATATTCTCCTAGTTTATTTGGTCAATCACTCAATCCTATAAAATTTCACTTTACTCCTAAACCAGGAACCTTACTTATTGTAAATATTCTTAAGTCATTATATACTACATACTTAAATCTGACAATTCTTTGAAGAATACAACTGAAACCCTAAAGTCGTTTTTTTAACCTTTTTTTATTAACTGCTTCCTGTCTTTTAGAAATAGAATTGGTTGTGAAAAACATATACCTAAGTAGGATTCAATCACAATAGTAAGAAGGGGAGGGGGGGTGGGTGAGGGGTTCTTTCATAAATAGAATGGGTTGTGAAAAATATAAACCTGGGTAGTATTCCACTTCAAAACTAAGAAGGGGAGGGAGGGGGGGTCTCACTGCGAGATGAGGTTTAAGTGTTTAACTGATTCCTGAATGAGAGTATACCTTATTTTTCGTGAATTACAAACTAAGTCTGATGATAAGTTAGATTGTTCACAACTCTTACCCTGTTTCTCCTGCTGTCAATATCGAGTAGATTTGCAGGGTGTGGCTGGACCAAATTGAATACTGTCATGTTAATACAAGATTGGCACATGTTACTTGTGGTCATTTTGTTAAGACAACTGCAAGTGGTTCTGTTGAATGTGAATTTTGTTGCTGCAGCTGTGAGACGAAAACTAGACGCACTTTCCATGTAAAAATAACTGTGGCTGATGATAGTGGTAAAGTCTTTGCATGGTGTACTGGTCAAAATGCGATTGAACTACTGCAAATATCTCCAGATGAATTCTATGAATTGCCTGAGGTATGCTTCTTCATCACCTATTTCCTTTTCTTATAGGACACCTGTTTTAGTTACTGCTAAGATTGGAACGTAATTTCATTAAATAAGTCCAAACCAATTTTGTCCTCGCTTTTGGGAAAACTCTGCTCAAATATTGGGGCATTTGTGCATAATGTTAGAAATAAAGTTGGTGGTAGAAATTTTCAAGACGATTGGAAGACAATAGATTAGCATTAAGCTTAGTCTAATATTGTTGCTTCCCTTGGCATTCAGGAGGAACAAGTTATTTACCCATGTTCGCTGGAGAACGAAAGATACATGATAGCAATTGTGAACTGTGGTCAGCAGGAAACCATCTTCAAGGAATGTTTGACTGCAGAAAATGAGATGGTATACTTCATCTTCGTTTCAAATTTCTGATTTGCTTATTGAATTGCAATAAAAATCCCAACCTTGTATTTTATTTTATTGTATATTTTATTTTTTTGGACGAAAATTGTAATATTACAGCCTATTTTAATGAAAGTAGGTAACTTTATATATATGTTAGTGTTTATATATCAATTTAAGTGAAAAAAATGCAAAAAAAATTTTAATTTTTTTTTATTTTTTGGGGCATTTTTAGCACCGGTTTTCAAACACAACCGGTGCTAAAAGTTTTTTTTAATTTTTTTCGGCCACTTTAGGCACCGGTTCACAGAAAGAACCGGTGCTAAAAGTTTTTTTTTAATTTTTTTGTGGACTTTTTCGCACCGGTTCACATCAAGATTTGGTGCGAAAAGTCTGGGATTTAGCACCCCCGAAATCAGGATCGATTCTAAACTGGTGCTAAATGAGGGGTTTGAACCGGTGCGGATTACGTGTTTTCGCCTAGTGAGGTTTACAACTACTCATACCTGCGCGTTCTAGAATTTCCTGTGCATATTTTTGCTGAGATAGAAACAAGTATGAAGGAGTACGAGTAACAGCAATTCCCCCAAAAAAAAAAATTCAAAGGACCTAATTCAATCATCGGAAAACCATTCCATAAGTGAGAAATAATATTCCCACGTAGTCGATCCGAGGATGTAACCAACACAATATTGTCAACATACATATAGTAGAAAATATGCCATATCATTCCCGATGTCGGAAAATAAATAAAGAACTGTCACTCTTAGCAATGACAAACCCAATCTGCAAAAGATAGTTAGCAAATCGCTAATACCAAGCTCGTGGAGGTTGTTTTAGGCCATAAAGAGCCTTTCAAAGTCTGCAAACATAACCACGAAACCTTTTGTCAACAAACCCGGGGGGTTGATGCATATAAACACACTCATTAAATCACCATGCAAAAAGACATTTCTTACATCAAGTTGGTGAATAGACCACTTACAAGCCATAGCTAAACTCAACATCGTTCGAATAGTGGTAGGTTAAACAACCGGGCTAAAAGTTTCATCACAGTCAATTCAACTCCTTCAACCTGAGACCTGCCATCATAAACTAAACAAGATTTGTGTCTTTCAAGATCACCATTAGCTTTCAATTTGTGACACAATAACCACATACAATTGACAATATTCACCCCCTTAGGTCTAGGCACCAAATTTCAAGTTCCCGTTTCAATTAAAGCACTTTATGCATCACGCATCGCAGCATTCCAATTTGGGTCGACAAGGACTTGTTTGTGATTTTTAGGAAGCGGAGATCGAATAGTAACAGCTAAACTGTACTTTGGATTGGATTTGACAATACCATGTTTGGACCTAGTTTACATGGGAGGTGATGGAGGTGGAGGTCTAGTAGGTGAGATTGGAGTATGCCCACGAAGAAGGGGGGCCGGGGTGTAAGAATTTTGGTTGGTTTGAGATAGAGAAGAGTGTGTAGGAAAGTAGGAAATAGTTGGCTAGGCCACAGACTGGGCCTGGGAGGAGGCAGCGGGCGCTAGGTCATTAGGTAAGTGCGAGTGGGCTTCTAGCTGGCCCATTAGAAAGTCAGCAGCAGTTAGGCTTGGTGGAGTTAAAGAGTGTCGCAGCCCAGTTGCGGTATGTTGGGGTGTGACACAACTATGTTGCGGAGTGGACTGCTCAAGCCTTTCAGAATTAGTATGCAACAAATATTGGTGATGTAAAATTGGTGATGGATCATCCAAATATTACGAACTAAGATGTCGGATTCCGAGCTTAGAGCATCGATGTCGAGCGTCGAAAGTCGAGTCCAATTTAGGACTGCTAGCCTAAACGCTAGCAAGGCCGCAAGCCAGCAGCCTATGCGCGTGCTTACTGGAGCTTGTTGGCCAAGCTCGCGTGCTAGCAGTGCTAGCAAGGCCAGCCGCATGCTAGCGCGTTGGGCCTCGCTGGCTACTGCTAGTGCTAGCTAGCCCAGGGTGCTTGCCTAGCAAAAGCAGCAGCACCCCGCATCGCACAGTTGCTTGTTATTGCTGATGCGGCAAGACACAGCTAGGCAGGCCCAACCGAGGGACCAGGCACCAGCATGGCTGCCTTGGTGCCCAAGGCGGGCTACCAGCTAGCCGCCTCCTATTGCACCGTTTTTGTGAGGGGCGGTTTTCTTGGGGAGTAAGGGGAAGGTGGTCCTCCCCTTGCGGTCCTCACCTAACCCCTTGCTCACCTTGTGCCACTTTTCGTTTGATGATTGCCTTGAAATTTTAATTTAATTGGGAATTAAATTAATTTTTTCTTTTGGCATATTACCAACTATCCCACATTGAAAGATGATGGGAATTCTTGGGAACAATTCCCTATAAATACCAATCTTTGGGTATTGGGAAATTCACTTGAGTTAGTGAACTCTAAGGGATCTCCAAAAGTGAGAAAACCTTAGTTCATAAACTCTAATTTATTTTTGGTCTAGCCCCGTCTAAGCTACGGGGTAGGAACCGGTTCCGGTTCGGTAATCCAGGGTTTGAACCGTCGGACGTTTCACACTTGCGGAGCTTGAAGCTTTCAAGTCCGAGCTTATTGAGTGAGCGAAGCACGCGTCGAGGGTGAGTTTCTTTCTCTCTCTTCTCTTTATGTGTTCAGTTTTGTTTATTTGCATGCTTTTGTTTATGTTGTAATTATTATGCATGTAATTTGGTTATCGGATTTTGTTTCCGCGCGGTGTCGGTTATCGCAAAACCCAATAGTGGTATAAAAGCCTCATGCATTTAATTTTTGCAACTAAAAATTAATTAAAGTAATTTAAAATGGATTTAAATTCCTTGTTTAGCATCCTAATTAGATTAGGAGCTCGTTTTTAATTAGATTAAAATCGTATTTATGCTAATTTTGGCTTAGTAACCCCGATTTCGTACAAAATAGTGAATTTTGGGTGAAATCGACTTTCTAAATCATTCTTTACCCACATGGTGATAAAAAATGACCTTCCATAAGCCAAAATCCAACCAAAAAGTGGTGTTACGAGTGGTTTTTCGTTTGGAACGAAAAATTTTAAATCTTTATCTTGATTAATTATGGCATGCAGTTATTGGATTATGTGTTTGATTATACCATTAATCTTCTACAATTTTAACCCTTATTAAGCATGTTTATGAAGTCATATTGGTGCTTAATTTGGTGACCTCTAAATTTCACATAAACTTTAAATTTCACATTTTTGCAAATTAATTGCTTGGAGTGGGAAAGTTTATGGTGAATATGATTTTTAAAGGCCCTAAAATGTTAAAGATTCAATTTTATTTGTTTATTTGGTTGAATCTTAACTTGCTAAAATCCATAATGATCTTATTTTTGGTTTTAATCATTTTGGAAATTGATTAATATCTTAAATGTTCATACTTGTGCTTGAAATATTATACATTGTTCTTCATATTGGAAGGTTACAATATTCAATTATGCACAAGTAAGTGTTGGATAAATCAATTCATTGGATGATTGATTATTTATTCAACTATTTTGTCAAATCTCATTATTAATTTATGTTGGTTAAATTAATTGTGAGAATAGCCCTAAATATTTGTAGCATCAAGTTGAGCCAAAAATAATTTAAAGAATAGTTCTTAAATTAATTTTGGTTTGTGCACTAAAATTGAATTTAATTAAGTTGGACTTGTTTTATTTTCAATATTACTCATTATTAGTTCTAAAATCAATTTAGAATTAATTTTTATGTCACACAAAAAAAAAGGAAATAAAATTCTGATAGGACGTCGTCAACCTATCAAGAAATAAGACCTAACTCGATCCTACTAAACTAGTAGCAAGGGCAAGAAAGGGTCGAACCCATGAGAGGCGTTGAATCAACCACCAAATGTTATTGTTTAAACAAGCTAGATTAAGTCGGGGGTTTTAAGTTGGTATTACGTCACATTATTCTAATTCAAATCAACTAATTCTAAGAGGTGATTAACAATATTAAGAAGGCCTAGGGCATGGGTTACACCACTCAACTTCATCACGGACCACAAGTAGCATGCATAGAAATGGTGATTTAGGGGATAAATTAGGGGAAGTTATCAAATGCACCCAACTACTCTCTCAAGCTAGAGGGATTACTTGACATCAAAACCATAACCTACTCTCGTGATTATGGGCAAGAAACAAGTGTTAAAACATCCTCACGATAACATGCAAATTCCCTTGACTAGAAATTCCTATTCTCATGGCAAATCAAGTCAATCAAGCATAAGGGAGCTTCCTCAAGTTCATCTCTCGATCCTTCGTTGAGGAAGCTAGATAAATAATTCAAGCAATGGCCAATTACAAGAATTAACAATGAAACCTCTTAAACTCAACTAATTAACACCCCACAATTAACAAATTAGTACATGCAACAAGTGTTGGTGATTACATTGAGGGTTCACCCAAACCCTAGAAATTAGACTACTCACAATCCATGGAGGTTAAAGCAATTAAAGATTTCAAGGAATTCATGAACAAATTAAAACTAAGAATTAAGTAGAATCTAACAATTAAACATGCAAAGAACAACCAAACAATTAATAAAAAGCAAGAATTAAAGATAGAAGAGAGAAAGAAAGAGTAAGAAAAATTACTAGAAGCTTCAATAATTGACTAACAATGGTGGAACTTGTCTTCTACAATGATTGGATTGAAAACCTTCAAAACAAGAACTAAAATCTATGCTAATTTGAGGATTTTTGTGTTTCAAACTAAGAGGAGTATGAAAATCTGAAAAAATTGGGAACCCCTCTAAAATGGTCCAAAGGGGCTATTTATACTACCCCCTAAAATAAGAGGACGGAGAAAACAAGAAACGGGTAAACTGTAGGCCTGCACGGACGTGCTGAAGTTGGCACGTCCGTGCAGACCAAGGCAGAAACTCGGTTTAAGACGACCTGCTGCAGCACGGGCGTGCACCTTTGGCACGTCCGTGCTGCATCATCTGCACGGACGTGCAATATTTGGCACGTCCGTGCAGGCCTTGGCAGAAAGATGGGTTCAGGTCTGCACTCCTGCACGGACGTGCAACATCTTGCACGGCCGTGCAGGGTCTTCTGGGCCCTTTTCTTCGTGTTTTCTTCTACGATGCTCTTGTACTTGGA